GCCAACAGACACATGAAGAGATGCTTCACATCGCTAGTCATCAGAGAAATGCAAATTAAAACCACAATGAGATATCACCTCACACCAGTTAGGATGGCCACCATCCAAAAGACAAACAACATCAAATGTTGGCAAGGTTTTGGAGAAAGGGGAACCCTCCTACACTGCTGGTGGGAATGTAAATTAGTTCGACCATTGTGGAAAGCATTACGGAGGTTCCTCAAAAAACTAAAAATAGAAATACCATTTGACCCAGGAATTCCACTTCAGGAATTTACCCTAAGAATGCAGCAGTCCAGTTTGAAAAAGACATATGCACCCCTATGTTTAAGGCAGCACTATTTACAATAGCCGAGAAATGGGAGCAATCTAAGTAAGTGTCCATCAGTAGATGAATGGATAAAGAAGATGTGGTACATATACACAATGGAATATTATTCAGCCATAAGAAGAAAACAAATCCTACCATTTGCAACAACATAGATGGAGCTAGAGGGTATAATGCTCAGTGAAATAAGCCAAGCAGAGAAAGACAAGTATCAAATGATTTCACTCATCTGTGGAGTATAAGAGTGAAGAGAAAACTGAAGGAGCAAAACAGTAGCAGACTCACAGAACCCAAGAATGGACTAACGGTTACCAAAGGGAAAGGGACTGGGGAGGATGGGTGGGAAGGAAGGGATAAGGGTAGGGGGGGGAGAAAGATGGCATTATAATTCGCATATATCATGTTGGGGGGGGCACGGGGAGGGCTGTACAGCACGGAGAGGGCAGGTAGTGATTCTACAGTATCTTACGACACTGATGGACAGTGACTGCAATGGGGTATGTGGGGTGGACCTGGTGATGGGGGAGTCTAGTAAACATAATGTTCCTCATGTAACTGTAGATTAATGATACAAAAAAAAATTAACATACAGCAAGATTTTGATACAGGTAAAAAAATTATAATAATCCTCAAGACAGAGGAGGTTCCTAATAACAAAAATTATTTTAAAAAAAAAAGAAGTGACAGGATGACAAATGTTCAAAGAACTATAGTCACTTCACCTGCAAGGTGGTCTTGTAATTGAAGCAGCTCTGGACAGAAAGCACTTAATGTTAGAGGCAGGCCAGTCCTTGCCTCCCAATCCAGAACATTCCAGATCATCTTAGGGCCAACCCTTATTGCCAACATGCTCAGAGGGTGAGAAGCCAGGAAAGAAGGATCTGTATGCTGCAGAAGCATGAACCAATAAGCGTCCCGAAGCAGGGTGGGCACCCACCCTCCCCAGGATGTGGCCCAGGAAGAACCAGCCACTCTCTGGCACTTGCTGTGGAAGATGCTGCTCTAGGCTCCATGCAAAAAGCAGCCTGTGCACAGATCCTTGCTGGCACCCCAGCAGGGAGATGAGGCCAGGAGGCTGGGCCACCTGTTCAGGTCACCCAGGGGGATGTGGTGGAGCTGGCATCTGACCGCTGAGCAGTGCTCCCTCCCCTCTCCAAGCCCGGAGCCCTCAGAGCCACCAAGCAGAGATGGCCAGTCCCAGAGGCCGGACTCGGCATGCTCCCATGGGTCCGCAGCTACCTGGAGGCTGCTTGCAGCGGCAGTGCCTCCTTTATCCACTCAGACCTGAGACATCGTGGGGACCTCGGTGGCTCCCAGCCACAGCTGCAAGGGTGTAACTCCCCAGCACTGACCCTGTTGCTCCTGGTACAGCCCCCCTCTGCTCAGATGATGGAGGAGAGCAGGGACGGCCCCTGGTGAGCCCTGAGCACACGTCAGACCAGAGCCCCAACCCAGGAAAGTGGAACGCTCATTATCAATGTCAAATGAGGCCTAGAAATGTGAACTGACTTGCCTGAGGTCACACAGCTGCCAAGGAGAGCTGGCTTTGAGCCCAGGCAGTCAGATTCCTCACCCCAACTGATGTTCCCCAGTCTTTGCAGTCACCACTACCCACTAGGAGACACTCTAAGAAGCAGGGCTGCCCTGAGGACAGGTTAGAGTCCACTGTCTGAACCTCAAAAATTCATGCTGAAAGAAGTCAAGACACAAACGATCTCGTGGTGTGTGTGTGACCCCATGTATATGAAACGTCCAGAAGAGGCACATTCAGAGACAGAAAGCAAATCGGTGGCTGCCAGGGGCTGGGGAGGACAAGGAATGGGGTATGAGGGCTGACGGAGAGGGGGTTTCTTTTTGGGGTGATGGAATTTCTAGAACTAGACAGGTAATGGTTAAGCAACATGATGAATATGCTAAGAACCACTGAACTGCACACTTTAAGATAGTATGAATTTTATAATACGTGAGCTATGTATCTCAGTTATATAAAATAAACAATCCTGTTTCTACTTTATAGACAACTTTAAAAACCTCACATGGAAGCCCCCAAAAATACAAAGCCCCTCTCCTGCCCCCGTCCGCTACACTGGCCAACGGGAGCTCCCTGCTCTGCTTCTGGTAGGAGCGCTGTGCTTACCTGGACCTCACTGGTTTTCTGTCTGAGCGCCTCTTCCTTCTCTCTAATATCCTGTTCCAGTGAGTACTTCTCTCTGCGTGTTGAAGAAGAGGTCAGGAGCGCCCAGAGAGTGAATAAGCAGACTCACCACGGGGCACTCTCTCCACCTGACTCTGGGTCCTGCTCTGTCCATCCCCACAGGAGTCCACGCTGGCGAAGCCCTCTCAATGGGGGAAGAAGCTCAGAACAATCCCCAGGGACCACTTCCCCATGTGTCCTTGCCCATCTGAGCACAGGCATTACGCTCAAGGTGACCACACAGCCTTTTAAAGAAGAGCGTTTTCAAGAGGAAATCAGAGTACTGCCCAGGGTGAGGACTCGGTGTACCCTTGCTGACTCTGAAGATGGGAGGCCATGAGAGGCAGCACAGGTGGCCTCGCGAAGTAGAACAGACCCCGGGCCACACCCAGGGGAAAAGGACACTGCAGACCCACAGCCGGAGAGGCTGGGCTCTATTCTTCCCTGCCCCAGCCTCTGGAGCCTACGAGCCCCGTCTCCCCTACAGAGAAGTCAGCCCTTGTACAACAAGCATGTGAATATCCACCAGCCCGAGAACTACCTGGCAATACACTATTCTCTCTAGACCCAAACCATCAGGTCCAGATCACATCTTCGCAAGGGGAGAGGCCTGTTGCGCCACGGCCCCGATCAATGAATGGGCCTGCTGGGTTACTTTCAAAGCTGCCTGCTGGGGGGTGCTCCAGGCCCAGCCTCCTGCACACGGACACTCTGCACAGACCTGTCTCTCACTGTCACAGGGAAGTGCTCCTGGCTGCCCAACTTCTCGACCCTTGCGTCAGGGGGCCCTCCCTCCTCTGCCTGGGGTCCTGATTAACAGGCCCACCCAACTCTAGGACACTGGCCCTCCGTTCTCACAGAGGCTCTCAGCCTTATCAGGTTGCACATGCTGCTCTCTGCTTCAGAAACATGGCCCCAAGAAGCTGGCAACAGAATGGGAGCCGTCCTCTGGGCTGAGCGTGAAGCAGGCAGTCTGGGTTCAGCAAGCGGCCAAGACTGAGGCTTTGTGATCAGCCACGGGTCCCACCCGACATCTGACCTGCCTTTGCTTTTCAGGGCTGTGCTCCACTAAGGGTACAAAACACACCAGCGGGGTCTCCAGGTAGCAAAGTGACGCTGTTTATTTTTGGTCCAGTAAACACTCCCTTTTCCCATGGAGGGCAAAGTACCCTTTGGCCCTTCAGCTTAGTGCTCCCCTGCCACATAATGAGAGTCTGCCTTGCCCTGGAATTAACTAGTAAGTGGAGGCTGCTTTGAAGAGGATCAGAGGCATACAGGAGGTGGACTTACTTCTTTAAGCCAGACTGAGTGTGCAGACACCCCCGTCCAAAGCCCTTTTTTACAGGTGGGGAAACTGGGGCTGGGGGCACAGAGAATGGAGCCACAGACCTGGACACAAGGCCTCTCACACAATGTAGCTGTTGGTCCTGAGCCATTAACTTGCCATGAGACTAAGTCACTTTGTGTGTCAAGATAACAGAGCTTCCTGAGGGGCCGGGGGCCTGTTGCTGCCTGCCCACAACCTGCCCGAGACCCCCAGCCCCAGCCCACACTGGCTGCGCTGAGGACGTCCCTACTCCAGCTCACTGAGGTAATTCGTGAATTCAGGGCAACGTGCCCTCCTGCGGTTCCGATGAACGAACTTCAGCATTCCACACGTGTCAAGAGCTCTGGTAACTCTGATCAGCAGCCGGGGATGGGTCTACGGGAGCTGTGGGTCCAGAGGGGAAGGGGCCGCTCTGACCCACCTTTGTAACTGGGCGATCTCTTGGCCGATGTCATCAAGTTCCTTCACGCCAGTGAACTCCCCGGACCCGAGAGAACTTGAACTGTCCTGGAACCAAATTCTGACTTGGAATTCTGAACTGGCAAGCTGACCTCTCGGCACAGCAGGGACTAGCAAGTCTTAGAATGGGGGACAGTCCCGTCTGGCCAGCCCCCAGCCTGGGGAAATACCGTAGAGCGCCGGCGCCACCTGGCGGTGGGATGCGGGAAGTGCCGCGGCGTGACGCGGGGGGCTACTCACCAGGACCGGGGTGCCTCTCTCTGAGGGCGGGACCATGTCCGGCGAGAGGGCCTGAGGGGGGTCGATGCCTTTGCTGACCTTCTGCTGAATGAAATACATAGCTAACGCGAATTGGTCTTTGCTTAACTTCCCCGTTTGCCTCGTATCGGCCAGGGCCCTGAGAGAAATGCGGGGAAGCTCATTACACAGGGCAGGCAGGGACACGGCCCCGTGCGCAGGGACGCACCACGGAGCCACGTCGGAGAGGCGCGCGCCCGAGATGGCGGCGAGGCCGACGGGGCGCGGCGGCGACTCCTTTTCTACTGAACGTCCCGCTTCCAGGGGGCGGCCCCAGGCTCCCACCCGGCCACCGCCCACGGGCTGGTCTGGAGGGGCTGCGGGGCAGGAGGGGCCCCTGGAGACCGGCTGAGCCCCACCCACCAGGCCGAGGGCCTGTCCCTTGGGAGGCCTCCCCGGCAGCTCGGAGCGCCACGCTGGCTCTGTATGCGCGCCGGTGCGGTCCAGAGCAGCTGCTCCCCTGGAAATGGGCTGCTGCGGCCTGGCTATGAGGGCAGCCCGGCTGCTGGTTTTCCCCGTGGGCGGCAGCGGCATTCTGGGCTGTCATCATGAGGCCAGGAACGGCCATGCTGCAGGGGACAGTCCCTCCCTGCTGAGCTGGCCCTCCCCACGGGGCCTGTGTCCTCACAGATGCGCAGAGCAGCAAGCAAACCAGCACATGGAGCTCCCACAGAGGCCAGGTGAGAAGCCACCATTACGGGGAGGGTAACCTCCTGCAGGGGACACAGCCTCCACGTCTGCCCTTTCCTTCCTCCCTCTGTCCACTGAGCATGTGGACACACGCCCCCCATGTGTACAGTCACTGCAAAAGCAGCGCATGTAACAGGCGCAGGCTCAAAACACAGTTGGAATAGGGCAGCCGAGCAAAGGGATCTCATCCCACTGAATATCACTGATTTCAAAATGACAATGTTCTTGCCACAGTCCGAGGGCATGACAATTTCACACTGTGACTATCTCCACAGGAAAGCTGGTTCGCCACACGCCCAGCTGCAGCCGCCCACAGTGCCGCCTGTCCCCTCCGGCCTGAAGGAGCGGGGCCCCAAGGCCTCTGAGCTGCTCTGATGCCGTGCTGACCGCAGGTGTGCCTGCTGTGCAGGGGCAGGCGGAGTCCTCATCTTCTCCTGCCATCCTCTTGGCATGTCCCCTCCTCCTCAGTGATGCACAAACCTACACTGCTGTCTCACTTTCCTAGCAGTTGGTCTAGAGCTCACCGTTCTGCCAGCCCCTGGGCTCCCTGGGCAGGAAGCCTCTGCAAGTCCTCCGCGTACTCCTGATGTATCTGTGAGTGCACTGCGCTGCTCATGTGTGGTCACGCTGCTTGCAGGTTGAGGTATGTGTGACACATCACTCCCCTTTGTGTTATGATCAGGGTGTTGAGTGGCTTTTGAACCACGTTTTCACTATTTCAGATGATAAAGGAGGCACTAGATCACAAGGGGCTGAGGACTGACTCCTGGCCTGTGGGAAGCTGCTGAGCCTCCCCCCATTTTGGTGACTGACCCTGGGTGTCACGAGCTCACTCCTTCAGAAGGAGCGAGTTTTCTTGGGGCCTCACCTCAGTGTGGACAGCTATGGGTTATTGCTGAAGATGGTTATTTCCCCAGCCACTCAGCGATGTGCTGTGTTCACTGCTCTGCTTGCAGGAGTTCACCTCTCCAGAATTATATAGACGTTCTCTCCTTATAACTCCCAAGTGAAGCCCCTGAGCTCTGAAGACAAAGTTAGAAATAGACTTCCACAGCTGGCTGGTTACAGAAGGCGCCACCCCAGCAATGTGCAGGCTGCTCAGCCTGCAGACTGCCCAGCCCTGCAGGACAGTGGGGGTGACGCCAGCAACTCAACTGGCACCAAGGTGCAGCCAGGAGTCTCAATGATGGAAGCCGAGTCACTGACCTTCAGAGGTCTCTTGGGGAGGTAGCCGCAGCTCCTCCTGGCCAGGGCAGCTAGACGGGGGCCTCACAGCCCCCAGAGAATGGCAGGGCCCAGAGCCAGCACCCTGACCAAAGGCTGGGCCTCCTGCTAGAACCAGCACAACCACCAGCAAGAACAAGTCCCAGTCACTTAAGCAAATTGCCTGAGAACCCCCTAGAGGGAGGACATCTATGCTGTTCACACCCTACCCCAGCCCCTTGCCTACATGTGTCTCATTTCTGCAGGGCCTGAGCCACCCCAGGCCATAACTCCCGCTAAGCAGGGCCCCGAGTACCAGGCAGCAACTGTCCATCTCCACATCTTACCATATGTGTGCGAGAAGGTTCTGTGTGAGGCCTGAGTGCATGAAGATCTCCTTCACCTCCTGGCCACTCACATAGCCGTCCAGGTCCAAGTCGGTCTTGAGGAAAATCTCATCAAAGCGCATCTTGTCTGCAACAGGCACCACCCAGTTCACTGTGGGCTGAAAGGGGTTTTTCAAGTGTTAATGCTCAAGCTTTTCATAACTCACACACCAGCACTACTGAAGCGCTTGCACATGCCAGAATGGCAGGACTGCTAAAGCACTTTCTGCATTCGGGCAGAAAACCTCTCAAATGAACACACAGCCAGCCACCCACTGGATCGGAAAGGGAGCCTGGCTGCCGTAGCCTCTCCCATCGGAAGGCCTGCTTTCTTACCCAATTCCCAGACAGCAGACCGCTTGAGCACCCTGCTTTTCCCTTCCTGCACTTAGGTTTTAAATTCGCCAAAAGAAAGTGATCCTGTGAAACTCCAGGCCTGCACCCTGGGCCCCAATAAGGCAGCGCCCCAGGTCCATGCCTTTTCTACCTGAAACCCTGCTGTGCAGCCCTGGGTGTGCCGTGCACCCTGCAGGACCCATAAGTCATAAATCCTATTTTTCCAAAGTTCCCTGATGGTTGTTGCTGAGGTACATCCTGCAATAACAACCACCACGAAGGCCGGTGCAGCCACAGTGAGGGCTCGGCCAGGGGATGCCTGCAGGGCCCCACAGGGAGTACAGGCCTGGGGAGTGCCCCAGGGGTTCCTAGACAAGTCACTGCTGCCAGCAGGCTGACACTGCACCCAGAGCTTCTCGCTTGCATTTTGGTCACTCAGCCCCACAGAAGGGCTGACCGGCCCTCGTCTGTCATGTTTGGTGCTTTGCCTTGGAAGCCACTCGGAGGCAGGAAGTGAAGCACAATTCCAGAGACAACTCATGTTCACACTCTGGCATGTTTTAGTCTCAAAGGTGCCTTTTTATAAAGAGCCCATGGTGACCCTGCATTTGCCAGAACAAGAAATGCCTTTTTTGATGTAAGATGCAGCACCGTGGAGACAGGGCATCACGTGTCTTCCTAACGAGAGACAGGTGCCTCCCTCGCTCATCTGATCATTCAACATGTTTACTGAGCGTCAGAGTACCAGGGATTGTTCCAGATGCTGAGATTCTAACCCAACAATTAACTGCTCTCGTGAAACTGGGGGGTGGCATGAGGTGAGGCAGACACACAGCTAACATAATGCACGAGGTAGCAGGCCAGGCATGGGAAATCCAGAAGGGAGGGTGGAGGGAGAACGGCCAGGTGCACAGGGCCTGGCCCCCTGCGGAGGGGCGTGATCTGCGGATGCCCCCTCCCAGCTGGGGTGCTGCCTGACATGGGGTGGGCAGAGATGTGGGAGAGTATGATGAGCGTGTCTCAGGAAGGGCTGGTTGGTTGGTTCTGAACCCCTGTTGCTACAGACCAAACGTGTGTTCCCCAGAATTCTCATGCTGAAACCCTAGTCCCCAGTGTGATGGTGTCCAAAGTGGGACCTGTGGGAGGTGATGAGGTCCTGAGGGTGGGGCCCACGATGGGATCAGTGCCCTTGTAAAGGGACTCGGAGCCCCCCCACATTGCCCCTTCTGCCCTGTGAGGACATGGTGAGAAGACACCGTCCATAACCAGAGTGGCACCCACCAGATACTGAATCTGCTGGTGCCTCGATCTTGGATTCCCGCCTCCAGAACTGTGAGCAACAAACATCTATTGTTTATAAGCCCCCCAGTCTATGGCATTCTGTCATACTTGACTGAGACACCAGCCATAAATATTGTTCTAAAAAATATAATCACAAATGTTACTACTGGGTGGAAAATTACTTGCTCTTGACAGACATCCTGGTAAGACTCTACCTGTGCAAGCAGCAACTCTTAGCAGTGGCCATGTGCACAGCAGGCAGCGTACCTGCGTTTGCTTGATACCGTGCTTGGGAGACAGGCTTCCTGTGCTGTTCAGGCTGCTGACGCTGCCGTGGGAAGGCGTGGAGCGGAGGCTGTCCTTTGGCGGGGGGCTGGCGGGCAGCACAGGCACGGCGCCAGGAAACACCACCTTCTTTCTCTTGGAGGGGGGGATGAGGGGTGGTGGCAGCACGGAGGGCACGGGCTCCTTCTCGAGGGCGCGGTACACCAAGTGCATTGCCTGAGAGCACACAGGAGAATCACGCTCAGGTGGTGAGACCCAGGCCAGGGTGGGCCAGCTCTTTCAGGGGCTGCAGGGGTGGGATGAAGACTACTTTCTGAGGCCACGTCAATGATGTACAGAGTAAAAATAAACCTTTTCTGATGAGTTATCTTTTAATGAATAATTTTCCAGGAAGTGTGTTTAAAATCACATGAGACTGACATGAGCAGAAAAGGAATTCAACCAGGACAGATGTCATACATGCCCCTTAACCACATGGGAGGGCCACAAGCTACAGGGCTGATGACTCCCAAAGTACCAGAATTTGGAAGTCTAAAGACATACCATGAGAGCTACGTATCCTTTAAGATATTTGGGAGCCTTGGAAAACTATGCAAAAGGGTGTATTGTGCTAGGGATGTTTGAGGCAGGAAAGGAAAATTAGCTTCGTCTAAAAAGAGGAGTTAAAAATCTATTTTAAAATGTAACAAAACCAAGATTAACAGCCCTCCCCAGTTCAAAATAGTCCTTAAGTTGCTAACACATCACTAACATAGGTAGTATTTACAATCACTTAAAAACTCTGCAAAATGTTAAACCCAGCTAGTGATACTGCAAAATGGCAGTATTCTAAGGCCCATTTAGAGAGAACATAAATCTTGGCTGAAATGATGGGAACTGAGCAGAACAAAACGGGAACTCGGGGCTCATGAGGTCGTGAGAAGAGAGGTATGTTTCTGGGGGCACTCTGAGCCAATCACCCCATTCCTGGGGACCCCCCTGAGAGCAGTTCAAAGACACAAACACCTTAAGTGCAGTCAAAAGAAACACACACACAAAAAATAGATAAAAAAGGGCTGGGACAGGGATATGGGGAGTCAGTGTTTAATGGGGACAGTCTCAGTTTGGAAGGATGGGATGTTCTAGAGATGGATGCACAACAAGTGAATGTATTTATAGCTCTGAGCCATACACTTAAAAATGGTCAATTTTATGTTATATATATTTTACCATAATAAAAATTCATAATAATGGATAGCCATTAAAAAGAATAGGATGATGGGAAAACATGGAAAAATGCTGAAAGTAAAATAGAGCTGAGCTGATGTATGTGGGGAAAAACCCATTCAACTGGCACTGTTAAAAATAAGGGATTATGAGGTGCACTGGAGGAGAAATGTGTAATTTCCTGGGAAAATGGCTTAAATGTAACCTAGAAGTTTAAAATCTCCAAGGCTTTACCCACATACTGTATAGTAAGATAATGATAATAAGCTTCAGTTCGTGTGTATATTGTAAAATCACATTTTTTAAAGATGTTTAAAATTCCTAGAACAGAAGATATATCTTAAGGATACTACTGTATTTTGTTTTTATTATTTGGGAATTTCCAGATAATTCATAGTTGTTTTTTCTGGCGGGAGTGGGGGGTTTTTGGTTGAACTGGATTCTTATTTATTAGTGTTGTCCTTGAACTATGGGGCTACTTTATTCTACTGTTTGTGGTTTAATGGAATGAGGTGAGTGAACAAAGCCCATGAAAGGCAGAGAAGGGTCAAAGGTGTGAGGTGGAGGGAAGGGTAGAGGAGGAGGAGGGACGGAATGACATAGGCCCGGGTTAAGGAGGGCAGGCCCGGGGGAAGTCAGCCCAGCCCACCAGACAGCTGCATGGGAGGGAGGCACACAGAACCGGCGCTCCCTGATCTGTGCACAGATCCAGCACGGCTGCTAAGAGGAGAGCAGGAGGGCCAGGGCCCTGCATGGTTGAGACATGGAACCAGATGCTGGCATCGTGGGGCCCCTGGTGGCCACATCTATATGTATAACCACCTTCCCAGCTCTGTCTGCTGCGGGCCTAGAAGCAGGGGAACCCAAGGGCACTGAGCACCATAGCACCCAGATCCCGGTCTCTAACACCATTCTCTCCACCACACAGAACTGTGGTTCCAGGGAGAATCAGCTGGCCATGGGGCTGGGCCAGGGACCGTACATACACAGGAGCACCCTATCATGTCGCAGAGAACGATGGGTGCAGCCAAAGGACAAAGGAGCCAGCCAGGAGGAGCTCCCACTGGGCAAAAGAAATCTCACCAGTGATGGATTATAAACAGTGGAAAGTGGTACAAATAAATCCCTTGTGGTAGAAGGCCAACTAGAAAATGTGCCAGAAATGCCAGAATCAGAAACTCAACTGGCAACCACCACAATCCTAATGGACTCAGGCGACACTCCTGAGGGGATGTGGGCACTGCAGGTGAGACTGGAAGTTAAGTGGTACCCAGTCTCCACCTGTCACCCATAGGAGGTGGAGCACAAGGAAGAGTGACTGCAGCGAGAAACCCACCACCCCGACCGCGGTCAAGGCAGATTCTAGGGCAATGATGAGCAGAAAGACCTCTCCTCGGGGCGCAGGTCTGTCAACGGCACGAGCCCTGAGGAGAAGGAGAACATGTCCCACCTCAGTGGGGTCCTGCCCTGCGAAGGTGCGTGATCTGGATCATCATCGGGAAACAGCAGGCAAGCCCACGCTGAGGGGACACCCTACAAGTCGCTGGTCTGCGCCCCTCAATGCCACAGGGCCACCGGGCTCAAAGACAAATGGGGAGCTGCCCCAGATCAGGGACACAAGAGAGACAGGGCCACAGCATGTAACATATGAGGCGGGAGTTTCTTTCACTACAAAGGATTTTTGAGGACAACTGGCAAAATCTGTGTAACATCCTAAATGACAGTCTAATGATAAATATAGTAATTTATTAAACATGACATATAAGACAGGTACTACAATAAGTTAAACAATATTAATATTAATTTCCTGATTTAGAATTGGACAGTGTTTATGTTAAGAGATTTCCCTGGCTTTAGGAAACACATACTTAAGTATTTTGGCAGGAAGCGGTATGGTGTCAGCAACTTATTTCAAAGGGGTTCAGGGGAAAACGTGTGTGTGTGCACAGGCACACATACACACACAGCCAGAGGGAGGGGGAAGGAGAACCAGGGGGGTATAATAGTAGCACTGGGGAATGTGAGTGAAGGGCATTCAGAACAATGTTCCGCATTACAGCAGCTTTTCTTTATATCCAAAGTATATCAAAATAAGCATTTTTTAAAAATCAAAGAAAAAAACCGAATCCAGAAACCCCCACATGAGCTGCACATTTCCTTCCTCAGCAGAGTGGGAAAGAGAGTCACAGCAGGGGCCCTACCACAGCGAACTCATCTCTGTCCAGGTGCCCGTCTTTGTCGATGTCGCTGAGGTCCCAGACCTGCAAGGTAAGAGCAGGAGGCTTACTGGGTGGGGGGCCGAGGCCTTCCCGGGCTGGGGGAACGTGAGGCTTTATGGGGAAGAGAAGGCCAGGGAGCAGCAAGCACACCAGCCAGATTCAGCTTCTGAGTGCTCAGCACACACCAGGATTGAGAGACAATCAAAATGCGTTTCAGAACCAGCCTGTGGTCCTCTGAAAAATGACCGTCTGATGAAGTACTGCAGATGCCAAGGTCCTTTCTACAATATTACCTTCATTTCCTCTAACAAATGATCATGATTATAATCATGACCACCCTGACTTGTACTTTATCATCTTACTAAGAAATCTTAGAAAAGATAGTTGGGTTTTGGCACCAGTGTAGCTCCGCACACAAGTCCCCTACAACATGCACACACAAACCCAGCCTCATCCCTACTTGTGCCGCGAGGGGCTATGCGTACGTGCTTGAGCAGGTCTGTGGGGTCTCCTCCCCTCTCTCACCAGTGCGTGGGGAGGAAGGGGCCACAGAATGGGCTAGGCTCACCTTGCACCCTGAAAACAGGGTCAAGGGTCAAGTCTATGGGTCCCTAGACTGGGTCAAAGGCCATGTGCTGGATTTCCTAAAGCACAATGGATGCACTATTTCCTGACTCAAGTCAGCCCCCCACCAGCAGGCCTGCCTGACTCGGACAATGCTGGGCATGGTGCCAGCAGACACCAGGGCTCTTGATGCTTCATGTGCTGGTACCTCCCACCCCCTGCCAATCACTAGAGACGTCAGCGCAGTGAGGGTCCCCCTGTGCAGGTCTTCCTCTGCACCACTGTGCTGTCTAGCAGCAACTCCACACAGCAGCAACTCCACAGTTTATTTGCCCAGCCCTCTCCAACTCCACAGAGACCAGAGCATCCGGCTGACCGCCCCACCTCTACTCCCATCACAGGGTTACCACAAGGACTGTTCTAAGCATGGACCCTGCCCCGCCCTGCTGACAGCATCTAGGCCCTGCCCCTAGCCAGATACACGGAGCCCACGTCCTCGGCAGGTCTCTGCACCACAGCCTGGCCTGCCAGGGCTCCACCTTGACCTCTAGGGACCCCAACTGTTCACAGGCCTCTCTGGGAGTACAGGCCATGTGCTGGATTAAACAGTGGAAATCGCTGAGGTCCCTCTTGGAAGCATACAGCACTGGGCTGAGTGCTTTATGCAGTGGTCTTAATTTAGGAAACAGACGCTCAGGAAGAGGAACTTTCCCAAAGACACGTCACTTGCTTGGGGGAACCAGGACTGAAATGGGCCTTCCTGGCTCCAGTCCCCCACTGCCAGGGCTTCCCCACCCCAGCACCACCAACATTGCAGATCACTCTCTGCAGTGGGGCCATGTTGGGGACTGCAGGGTGTGGAGCACCACCTCTGGGCCCCACCCTCCTGAGATGGAGAAGAAGAGGAGCAGACAGGTGACCCCTATGCCGTCAGACCTGGAGCCAGGGCAGGAGATCTGCGGTGCACGCCCTCCCCAGCTACAGCTCCCCTCCTGACAAAGCTCAGTCCACCTCTGCCCAACCCTGGCGAGACAAGAATTGCCTGCAGACATTGCTCAACACCTCCTGGGGAGGCGGAAGTGCCGGATGAGAACACCAGCCCCACCCCATAGGTCACATCGCCTCCGTTCACGATGTCATACACCTGGCCTGCTCTACCTGTCCGTCTGCCAAACAGCTCTTCACTTTGGATTATCAGAAAGGCAATGCAGGGAGGGGTGGTTGGGAAGAGTAAGGAGTCTAGGTACACCCCAGGACCTTATTCTGCTCTCCATGTGGCCCCAGGTGACTTACTAGCTACTCTGAAGACCCCCATTTCCTCAGGAAAATGAGGGTGACATCATCCATAATAGAGTGGTTCTAGCACTTTGCACAAGTGAAATCACTGAGTACTTGCAACCACTCCATAAACAAGTATTAGGATTTAACCATTATGTATTTACTTGACCTCTGGGACTTCATCTCATTTCATTCCCATCTCCCCAGTGCTCTGCACGAGGCCTGGCCCAGAGCAGGCTCTGAAACTTCCTGAATGACTGAATGGATGCATAATGGGTGGGTGCATGGATGCACGAGTGAATGAGTGTGTGCAGACGTGCATGGATGCATGAGTGCACTGATGCATGTGTGCCCGGATAGGGATATGGATGCACACATGCACAGCTGGATGGGTGCACCTATGGGCTGGTGTGCAAAGGAAGGCAGGGGGAAGGAGGGAGGAGCAAAAGAGAAGTGACCCCTGTGCCACCAGACCTGGAGCTGAGGCAGGAGAGCTACAGAACACAGCCTTCCCAGCTGCAGCTGCCTTTCTAATAAAGTTCACTCTGCCTCTGTCCTTCTCTGTCTCATTTGTGATTTGGCTCTACAGCACTAAGATATCCAATTGTCAGGTATTCTGCAAGGACTGCCACATACAGGGACACACTTTGCAGGCATGGTCACCCCATCCTGCTGCAATTAAAACTCACGCCAGTAAAGACTGTCTCCACTACACCACGGCCGAGAGGAAAACAAAGGGATTTGAGAGATCTCCTTTCTTCCCGACCTCGTTTCAAAACCAAGTGATCGAGACAAGCTCTACCCAGGCCCTAGCAAATGGGCCAGAGTCTGCAAAAGTGGTGTTCAAACAGGAATGTCACTCACTGGGTGAATGTGAGTAGGAAGGAATTTGCACACCTCTGCAAGGTTCTACCAAATGTCATGAGCTAGAGCCACTGGGGGCCTGCGGCAGCCGGAGCCATGCTCAGTCCTTTGCTCCGGGCCTGCACCTGCTGTGCCACAGTGGTCCCATCCTGACAGACAAATCCATCCCCTCAGTCTAGGGTGGGGGGCTCAGCACAATCAGCCGTGCAGAGCTGGGCTTTGTGCCCAGAGCAAACACGGGGTACAACACAAACCTCGTCAGAGGGAGAAGTCCAGAACAGAAAGCTGCAACTAAAACTTACTTTAACAGGAACAAAACTGAAGCTTTCTTTGAAAAAACAAGGAAACAAAATTCTTTCCAAACCTGTAGAATTAGAAGTACCTTTACCTTAAGCTCACAGGCAGAAAAAGTAACTAAAAAGAGAGCGAGCACGCTACAGCCATCCACCCCACTCTCCTCCCTAGGAGCACAGGGGAAGGGGCGCCAGCCTGGGTTCCATCCCAGCTGTGCCATCCTGGGGCCACAGGCAGCAAGTCTGCTTCTGAAGCTGCCTCCCGCATGTGCAGAGGGCCCACACCAGCATCTTCCCACAGCCAGGGGAGTATCTGCGAGCCACTCCCTGGAGCCGACCTGACTGCTGCAACTTCTCCATCCACACTGGCTCTTTCAAAGGCCCCCAGGAGCACATGGCCAGGTGTCACTGGTCAAGTCTCGTAAGTGTCAGTGGGGATGGTGCATGGTGACAGAGAAGCACTTACCCTGCCCAGGACATCAAGAGGCAGCTTTGAGTTCATGAGGACTGGCTTGACCTTGTCTCCAGAGAGCAAACCATTTATGGGTAAGAGGCTTTCAAAAATTCCATCAAATTTTGCCTTTTCTTCTACCTAGTTGGAAAGAAATAGCCTGAGTGAGCAAAAAAGTATGCCCGTGTTAGTCCAGAACGTGCTCTGACCTGAAGCTGAAAGAATACGGGTGAGGACCTAAAGGGACCTTACAGCAGTCCCAGAGTGACCTTACGTCCTGAAGGAAACAGCTCTCTGGAGACTATGGATCTGGCAGCCCAAGCTCAACGGGTGAGCTATGACCTGGTCCCCCAGCCTCATCCTCCACCACAGCGGCTACCTGGGAGACACAGATTCACTCTTACCTGCCTCCTAGGATTAGAGACATGAAAGCATGAATGGGTCCTACTTCCTTGGGACAAAGAACTAAACCTGGATATCAATCTTCAGAACCAAGACAACTAAAGAACCAAATAGAAAAATAAACCAGACTTAAGCAACTATCAAAATCGACTTGAGCAATTATCAAAATCAACTTTAAACACAGGAAGTACTGTGTCTCTAACAGCAAAAACTCTTCCTGAACAGAGTGAAGGTCTGGGCAGGACTTACACAGCAGAGAGGCAGCTACTGTCATTCTGAAATAGGACATATAGGGACATGTCCAACAGGGCTGTCCGTGAGGAGGGTCTGGGCAGGGGCCTCCAGGCTGCCCCCCAGGGAAATGAAGCCCATGGCAAGTGGACTGAGAGGATCCACACCTCTTACCACAGGTTCTGACCACAAGCTGGAGCCACTGGGAGCGCTAAGAAAACACCCTCAATAAGTGTCCATCGAGGGAAGAATGAGCAAACACAATGTAGTCCATCCATCCAAGGGAATCTAACACAGTCTTATGAATTAAAGAGATTCTGACATGCTACAACATGCATGAGCCTTGAGGACACCATGTTGAGTGAAGAAGCCAGACACAAAAGAACAAATACCACATGAGCCCACTCACAGGTGGTCCCTGGAGGAGTCCCACCCAGGGAGGCAGGAAGCAGACAGCGGGGCCAGAGGCTGGAGAAGGGGGTGGGCAATCAGTGATTAATGCAGACAGTTTCATTTTGCAAGGTGAAAAAGTTTTGGAGATCGACGGTAATGATGGCTGCATGACAATGTGAGTGTACCTAACACACTGACCTGTACAGGCACACCTCGTTTACTCTGCTTTGCTTTAATGCACTTCAAAGATACTGCTTTTTACAAATTGAAGGTTTGTGTTGAGCAAGTTTATTGGCAGCATGCAGCATTTGCTCACTTCGTGTCTCTGTGTCACATTTTCATAGTTCTCCCAATGTTTCAAACTTTTTCATTGTATTTGTTATAATGATCTGTGAGCAGTGATCACAACTCACTGAAAGCTCAGATGTTGGTTAGCATTTTTTAGCAATAAAGTGGCTTTTAATTAAAATATGTACATTTTTTTAGACATTATGCTATTGCACACTTACTGTATAGTATAAACAGAACTTTTATATGAACTAGGAAACCACAAAATTCATTTGACTCACTTTAGTGCAAAAGTCACCTTATCACAGTGGTCTGCAACTAAACTTGCAATATCTCCAAGGCGTGGCTGTCTGCTTAAAAAGGTTCAGATAGTGAACTTTACGTTATGTGTGTTTTATCACAGTTAAAAGAAAGAAAAAAAAGAGTAACAGGAGCAAAGTGGACACTGCAAGCAGGAGCTGCTGTAAGTGCTGACAAAGCAAATGCCCCGTGTGTCTGGGGTTCTCTCTGACCCCAGACTCGCAGACTTCGTGCCTCCAGAAGCCCAGGAACTTTCACAGTGGAAAAGAACACATGGCACCTGAGGTTGTTTGTCCCTGTTCCTCTCACTGAAATGCCAGATCTCCCCTGAAAACAGCCTGCTTCAATCACAGTGTCTTTCCTGCAAGTCCTCTCTGCCAGGCCTCAAAGGGGTCCTCAGTTGATAGCCCTTCTAGTGAGGCCTCCACACAGCCCTGCCAGAAGGGGGCAGGAAGGAACTCTTCAAGAAATAAGATCTCTTTTGACACCAAAATTTTTCACGACACAGCAGCTTTCTTTCAAAGTAGGTGCAGTGCAACTAGACTACAGAAAAAGAATCCTTTGGTAGCATAACCACCAGCAAAGAGCTTGACTGCCCACGGAGACAACTTCGCAACTTCTGAGTCACATGGAACCTCCCCCTGCCCTGACGAGGCCCAGACCTCCCCCTGTCCAGACCCTCCAAGGAGGGAATAGACCAACTGAAAAAAAAAAAAAGAACGAAAATGTTTGAAGGGGGCACAAATACGCCAGGGGTGGGACTCTGCCCATTTTCATTCAGCACCAAGTCAGAGCTCATTTCGGACTCTCTCAAAGCAAAATGTGACATTGGCAGTTAAGCTAAATGAAAGTGAGGACACACGAGTATCCTTCTACAACAAGCGGGGGCTGTCTCCATGTGCCACGTGCGCTTCCTTCAGGAGCAAACTCCACACTTATCAGAGGACACCATCTGCCTTTTTCTTTCTAGAAGCAGTGACACAGTGTTCCAGCCACAATATCCTCTATAAAATAACACTTTAAGTGCTGAGAGAAGCTTTTCAAAAAATCAATGAAAGCATCAGTAAAGAAATAATAAAAATGCATCAATTGGCTAGGAATAAAAGCAGTAGCTGGAAGATATCTTTGAGGTCTTCACGTTTGCAGGTTCTCACCATTTCCCCTTCTATCCTGACCAACCCAGCAGCAAAAAGCAAAGAACAGGACCTAGAACTACAAGATTTAAAGTGTAAACTCCTAAGAATCCCATGCCTGACACTCAGCTGACTGCCTTGGCAGGCAACACTCAGTTACAGATCATGGCTGTTTCACAAAGACTTTTTTTCAAAAAAGCGTTTTGTCCAAATTCTATGGCACACTCACTCTAAAACAGAACCGATGACAGAATTGTCCTGTGAAATGTTTTAAATGACATCATAAATGGCTAAAACATATGCACCTGAGGGGTGCTGTCCCTGGTCACTTACCCTCACAGCCCAGAGGGCCTCTGCAGAAGGTGGTGTGACCATCAAAGGGCTGCTGGTATCATGCTGAGAAGAAAAAATACATTCTGCTGTGGGTGGCATGGAATTAAATCACAAGAGGATGTATTTACTGAAAGGGTATACAAAGTGCTTTCCAAAAGGGAGAAGATCTCAACAAGTTACACACAGAATTACCATATGACCAGGCAATTCCACTCCTAAGTGTAGACCCAAGAGAACTGAGAACAGGTGTGCAAACAACTCTTCATATGCATTATGTCCACCAACAGATGGATAGGTAAACAATGTACGCTGCCTGTACCATGGAATATTACTCAGCCATGAAAAGGAATGACATACTGACAGTGTGCTACAATGTGGGTGAACCTGAAACCATCATATGCTGAGTGAGAAGCCAGACACAAAAGGGCAAGTGCTGTGTGATCCCAGTGTATGAAATGTTCAGAACAGGCACATTCATGGACAGAAAGCAGACTGGTGGCTGCCAGGGGTGGGGGAGAGGGACAGGGAGTGAGTGCTTAATGGGCACAGGACTTCCTTTTACAGTGATCAAAATGTTATGGCAGTTGACAGAAGTAGCGGTTGCACAACACTGTGACTGCACTAAGCGTCACAGAATCATTCACTTTAAAATGGTGAATTAGGTTATGTGAATTTCACCTCGAAAAAAAAAAAAAAAAAGAAAAAGAGGGATACAGAAAACATGGAAAGATAGAAGAACGTCAACCTAAAGGACTTTGACACTTACGAACTTAGGCGGCGGCATGTTCAAGTTCATATTGCTCAAGGTGACTTCGTGGCCGCTCTGTGCACAGGCCACCAGTCTCAGTGCAACATAGAAACCCTGCAAATCCAAAAACAGGGGGAAGTGTGAATAGCAGGAGCACTGGCTTGGGCAGTAGACTCCAGGGAAAGTGGGGCTCACTTCACTTCAATACCGTGGACCATGGGCAAGTCACCTACGGCGCCCTGTTGGACTGGTCTCACCCTGGGAGTGTCATTTAAATGAATATGCTGACATGGACTTTGCCAGCTGCATTCTAAATGCTGAAAAACTTCAAATAAATGTATTTTCAAAACAATGAGCTCACAACAATTAGGAAATGCTAGGCTGTAAGTAGCAGACTATAGCCTAAGACTCTAAATGTAAATGGTGGCTCACATACGTGTTGGCTTCTTTAAAAATGATTTGAAATAAACACAGTTGTTTGGGAACTGGCACGAGTCGCTGTGACCCTGCAGCCACACAGAGCAGAGCATCTCCCACTCGCTCCCAGCAATCTGATGTGGACATGGCCTCCCAAATGGGGACGAAAGCCCCGAACTAGGCCCCCAGAGCCGTCAGCCCCTCCTCCTAAACCAGAACCAGCCATGTCACAGGCTTAGTGGACTCAGATAGCCTCACCTGATTTTTTCTTAACTGATCAGCTGGCCTAAGAACAGATACTGTTTTAAAGCCATAAATACAATTATGCTTTTAAAACATCCTTCAGAGAGATAAGCACTAGATCAACCTCTTTCAGGCTCATGTCCACAGAATGACCGCAGGGTACAGAAAACAAGGGAGTAAGTAGAGGGGCGCTGCATTCGGCAGGGCTGACAGGTCCCTTTTCCACGAGGGTCCTCAGAAGCTTTCATATGCAGACATGCAGCGTGAATCTCGAGAGAGCGAGGCAGAGCTGATGGTGCCTTCCTGATGGGCCAGGTCACAGACCACAGGACACCAGGATAGCATCCCTTGGAACACAGTTTGAGGAAACTGATCTAAGTTAAAATATGACCATTTATGATCATTTGTAAGTACTATAAATTTCCATTCACAGAATCTTCTCAAAATGACAAAATTATGATGGGGAAGGAACCAGAGGGTGGGGTGTGACCCCCAAGGGCCAGCATGGGGGACAGCCGCTGCAGTGCTGGGGCAGCTCTGGATCCCGACGGTGTGGTAGCTTCATGAATCTGTGCAAGTAACAAAATCACACAGAACTACACCCACCAAAAAACCCAAAAAGTGGTCATAAACTCAGTCAGCTCGGCCTCAGGGTTAGCACTGTACCTGGCTCTGGGCATTGGGCCGTGGTGCTGTAAGCTGCTCTCTGGGGGAGCAGAGGAAGGGTACATGGGAACTCTCTGAGATATTTTTGCAACTTCCATGACAGTGTGAAATTATTTCAAAATAAAACGTTCTGAAAACATTTTCATAGTTTGTAAGCACACAAGGTATTAACCAGGAAAGATGGCTCCAAGTGTTCAAAAGACCTTTATTTAGAAATGAGAACTTCCCATTTTAGAGTCTGATGGCCACACTTATGCCTAGTAATACTTGTCAGTGGTGACAGCGAGGAAGAAGTGCAGAGGTGACCTGGCCTGCAGGGCTCTGGCCCGGCCCCTCCACTTGCTCTGTGTACATGTGTACATACCTGTTTGTCCAAGAACCCTTTACCTTCGGGGTCGGCCAAGTCCCATATCTGCGGAAACACAAAAATGCTCATGAGCGCAACTACGAATTGTTGCCCGTTTATTCACAGAATAGTAGCCTCCAGAACTGCATGTGGGCCTTATGGGTAGGCCAGAGTGGCCATTCCCAGGCTATGGGTAAGGAGGCAGGCAAATCTGGAATGTGCGAATGCATGAATGACCTGCGTCCGGAGGGCACACAGCCAGTCATGGCAAAGCCTAAAGAACACCCAGGTCCACTTGGCTCCAAAGCCGACAACATTCTATAAGCAGCTGAGATCCCCAAAACAACAGGAAGACCCACCAGCTGCAGCCCAAACCCCAGGAGACGCATCCCCATGCAGAGGAGCCACTCTCCACCTGTGGGGGGACTCTGAGGGTGGCCACAGAAGGGGACTCACCACTGGTCTCCACATACCTTCCCAAGGATAATGTCTGAGAGCCCAGACTTCTTCAGAAAAAGTGCAGCTTCGCTCGCCCCAACTCGCCCCGTGTACGCAGGGTCGACCTGGAATGCGGGGGTTACCACCTGAGACACGGCTGCAAATGGGGCAGCAGGTAAAGCGGTACACACCAAGCTGACGGCTGGCTGATAATTCTGGGGACAGAGATGGACTACAGGCCACACTGGGCTTCAATTCGGGGTTGTGCTTTCTGAGCCACTCTAGTTCCATCTGGAAAGTCACCAGTGAAACTTACCTGCTTATAATAAGATTCATATAATGGATTTCCAGTGGGAATCTGTAAACAAAGGCACAAATACCGGTCAAAAGTGGACAGACACCCCCATCTAAAAAACCAGTGTCATCCCCAATTTTGTCATTCCCAAAATACATGACAGTGAAAACTGAAATTTATATACTTTAAATATCCTCTATAGACAGACTGCAGTTTATTTTTAGATACAAATATTATACTTACTTGATTTGGAAAAAGGAAATGTGAAAGCTCTTTAACAGCTCCTGATTTGTGCACAAACAACTTGGTGGCTCAGGAAGGAGCACAGCCCAGAGTCAAGTCACTTCCATCCACAGAACAATGGGACTTGACCCAACTGGGGGCTCAGAGGGGAAAGACACTGTATCCTGTGAGATTGCTCTCCAGCTCCGGAGTCAGAACAGGAGTTTTGGCCCATCACGGTAAATCACACCTGCGAGTTTTAGGCGAGTTTCCCTGCCCCAGGTCTGGCCCCCACCCATCCCGGCTGCCACCAGCCACTGGGGGACTGAGCAGAAATGCCCGCTGACCGGTCCCTGCTGGTAGAGTGCTGGCCAGTGACACCCCCACTAGGGGGTACAGGTAGTTCCAGGTGCTCAGCGTGGCTCAGAAACCCGGCGCCCTGGCCATCAGATTGAGACAGGGACCATGGGTGTAGTCAGAGGAGGGTGAGGGCCTCCAGAAAAAGACCCCTACCAATTAAACAAAGACAGAGTCACATTAATTCTCTAAAATAAAATATCAAACTAAGAATATAAGCATTCTTCAGTGAAGATTAGTTATAACTAAAAAGCCTGGAATAACCTGGCTTGGAATGTTTGAACATCCCCCAGATAAGAAAATACCTCAGCATAGCCCATGTTTTGTTTGTGTCAATTAAATGAGGCTGTTGTAAAATTTACTTTAGCCTGCTAAAAGGCCAAATTTATCTTTAACTTTACCCAGATGCTGCTTTTCCTGCTCCAGCCCTAATCAAGTCAGTAACTCAGCTCACCTTGAAAGCAAAACAAGCAGCCTTGACTGACATACTCCCAAACCAAGAGACTGCTATTCTGAGAAAGGATCAAAACAGTAAATTTCTTATGTTAACTCCGCAAAATAGTCTGGAAAACTGATAAGAAACTTAGTGTCTCTTTAAAAATAAACACTTAGAGACCATCTGGTGAATCCACATCCCTAACTCTTGGTCTCTCAACTGCCTATAAATCCCCTAAACAACGCACCACCACGGACTCTCTTGTCCCCTCCTGGCATAAGCCGGGAGCTCTGTTCTTTCACTTCATCTCTAAATAAAAGCCTGTACCTTGCTCTCCTACCTTGACTGTTTGTGAAGCTCATTCTTCGGCTTCATGAACAAGAACCCCGGCATCAAGATCTCCAGAATGTCGCTGTTCAGAGAGGCAGCCGCCTCGTCTAGTCACGTGGCTCATCAAGGCCATGTGGTTGATAGAGGCCAAACCTGGATCCAGCCCCACTGGTAGCCACACCCTCACACTCTGCACAGTGTCCCAGGTCTCCTTTCCAACCTTAGTGGGCCATGGAGAGGAGGGGCACCTGGAGAGGAGCCAGCTAGGGTTGGAATTAAACAGCCACAGAAGTTGGCTAGAGACAGACTTAAATGTGTTGGTTTCACTGCATGAAGGGAGAAAAGAGACTGTAAACCTGCTGCTGACTTAGCAAAGGGAAGGGAAGATCGTCTAGTTTCATTCAACCATATAGAAGACCAGGTGTGTAAACAGCTCAGAAGAAAGCTGGGGAGAATGAGCACCAGATAAGAGGTGGCACACGGGGCTTATTTTAAGTCTTTGGTGCTGCTGTGCGATTTTTCATTCTGAATAAAAGTGGGGACAGATGGGCTCCCTCTGGTTACAACTGCTAGATTGGAACCAGCCCCACACTCACGTATTGCTGTGCCCTAGAGTTAAAGATAATGCCTGGATTCGGTCAGCCTCTCGGAGAACACCAAACACCTGTAATCACATAAAGAAGTGAAAGTCCAGAGAACAATACTAAAGATAGAAGGAAAATAGGAAGAAAAGAGCCTAAAGTTGTGAAAGGTGAGAGCAGACAGTCAAAACAAAGAGAAAAGGGGGAAGAGAAAGCAGGAAATCCAAAGAAGGAAGGGAACAGTGGCGGGTGAGCAGCAATGGCTTGAGAAAGAAAAGGTGACCTCACCAGGGAATAGGGTTAGGAGACAAGTTGGCAGCTCCCTGGCTGCTCACTTCCACTGTCACCCTTAGCTCCTGGTGACCTTAGACAGCAGTGTCTACCATCACACTCTGCATGACCAACCGAGTGTAAAACTCTGGCCTGCTGGTCACAGCACACATCCCCAGACGGGGATGCCGACAGGGAGCAAAGTCAGGCAGGCTGTCTGTCATCTGTCAGTCAAGGTGAGAGTGACTGGGTCCAGAGAGCACATTCCCAGTCTCTGGCTCATGGCAATGGAATGCACAGATACCCAGGGGCCCCTACTTTGATGACAAAGGTCCCCTTTCTGCCAACAATCAGAGAGGCACAGGTGTGAAATACATTTCCAGTGGATTTTTTTTTTAAGGTCATGAAAGGCAAGAGAGAGGTTTCCAAGCTACTATGAGGTCCTTGCTAAAAGAGGTAGAAGGTCAACACCTGTCTCAAACTTCCCAAATGCTTCTGAGCTATAAAAGATCCATCGTCAAGAAAAACAAGACCCTGAATAGTCCAGAAAAGCCTGTTAAGCACCAGATCCTAAGCTCCACACTTCCGTGCTAAGGGCTCATCCCACAGGCATCCCATGGCCAGGTGTCGATCCCAAACTACTGACAACCGACAGAAAACCAGAGCACACCTGACCATCCCTCCCTAACTGTGGGCATGGATTTGGATAAACTAGGACAATGACAGCAATTAGAGGTTTCAATTTAATTACCTACACTTCAGCTACTTCAAAAGCAGAAGGGGGAGAAAGATTAGAGAACACCAGACCGGTCTAACTGGCACTTCCTTTTACCACACTGCTTCTTCCTGGGTACGGTGGAGTCACACCTGCAAGCTGCCCTTATGCCCATGAGGCAGAGCTGAAGAGGCACGCTGCTAAGAGTGACAGGAAACCTATAGGGACGGCTCCTGAGCAGATACCTCAGTCAGAGCCAGCTCACTGGTGTGGGCAGCAGCTCCCAGAGGTGAATCACAGCTACTGGGACACAGCCTTCTGTGTGCCCCTTCAGTGTGTGCCAGAGCTGCCCACCCACATCTGACCCAAAAGCGAGCCCAGGGCCATACCTGGGGCAAAGGTAGGGAACTGGCCTGGGGACACAGCTCAAGTGTAAGAGGCTACAGAGGGCCTGGTGATGGCTTCAAGAACAGTCACTGGGAGATGGCCCAGGATAGCGTTCTCCACCAGCTCACTGTGCCAAATGCCATCTTTGACCAAGCAGTGTCTGAATTACTGATAAGGTTCAAAATGATGTTCACTATAACTTTCAATTCAACCTTTCAGTTGTTCATCATCTCTTAAAATACTGAGAGAGATCACTTCAAAGTTCTGGTGGCGTCTTGGCTCAATCCTCCAGCCCAGAAGCAATTTTCAAGTAAGGTGATGCAATTTACAAGAGGGGTGACAGGGAGGGGAGTCCACCGAGAACAAGTTCACATCATTCTGCTCTGAGGCCTTTAAAATGCCACAGTTTGTTTGAGCTAGTGCAATTTTACACTAGAGAAACCGGGTTGACACAAGGAACACAGCAGAACCGCTTTAGAGGGGAAACCAGCCCTCTTCCACATCTTGGGGTTCCAGCCGCTCCCAATCCTCATGCTCTTGTCCACAGACAGGACTCCTACTAAATCTATGCCTGCAGCCAGGAGAATTCCTACTCTGTGGGGAAAGTACGCACTCTCACCACTCTCATGCACAACAAAGCAGTCAGCTCCAGCCCTGCTTGTTTCATAATGACATTTTTAAAGCAAACTTATTTTCATTTTCAGACTTTTAGAAGAAAGTAGAATTCTTTATTCTGATAAACAGTGGATTGCATTTATGGGGCACTCACTGTTTTCTCTCCAGTATCTCACTTAATCCTTTCAATATGACAACACAGGTACTATTGTTAGCCCCAACTTACAGGTGGGAAGACGGAGGTTACCTTGCCCAAGGTCACAGAGCCAAAAAGTGACAGGGCTAGAAGAGCCCCCAGGCCATGTGGCCCTGACCTAGTCTGCGCCCTGCAAAAGAGCCCAGGTGTGGCAGAGCTGGGCGCCGGCACAGCACACACTCCCGGGCATGCTTGCCTGGGGAAGATGTACACATGGGGTTACAGGATGGTGCATTTACTCAACCAAAGAGGTCAGCATGTAAAACTCAGCTTGAACATATAAACTGACTTGAAAGCCAGTGCAGACTGCCATTTCCCCAGGAAAACCGAGACCCCATGAAGGCTGTGTTTTCAACAGGATTGGCAAGTTTTGCGGGAAATTAGGCACATGACGCCAAAAGATATCCTGGTCTGAGTTCCTACTTGGCAAACCAGCTGCTGATGTAAAAACATGACCCAGAGAAGTTCTCGCTTGAGAATCCTTGCATTTTTGCCTTCCACGTAGAACTAGTTCCCACCACTGCCTGTATACAGGCCGTTATCTCCGCTGTGCGCACAGCCACATCCTGTAGCTAAGAAGGTGGCGGTCCAAAGTCACCAGAAAACGCTGGGGCAGCTCTGACCTCCCCAAAATTGACAACTCTCACTGACAGCTCCACTCATGCCACAGCTAAGACAAGCACTGCCGAGAGACAGAGAACTCCGGTGTGAGAAACAGCTTTTATAAATTGCCAGGGCAAAAACATCCCAACCACCAAATGAGCAAAGGACGGAAACAAGCGATCCCAAAAGAAGAGAGGCAGCGAAGTCGGGGGGAAACGTTCAATGTTTGGGTTGCAAAATGGAATGAAATGCCAGCTATCGGGTTGGCAAAGTCAAAGAGAGGCCCTGTGCAGGGTTGGCAAAGGTGGAAATACATGTCTTGGGCGCTGATGGTGGGAAGACAAACCGACCGGCTTTTCTGGAGGGCAATGCAACAACCAGCGGTAAATGCGCACACCTCTGACTCAAAGGCTGACTCAATTCTCACCAAACGCCACCAAGATTTTTTTGGTAGATAAAAATTAGATTATTCTAAAATGTATACAGAAAAGCAAAGAAGGTAAAATGGCAACAACATTTTGAGAAGGAAGATGAAGTGGGAGGACTCGGTCGACCTGATTCCAAGGCTTGCTCTGAATAAGGCAGCTCTGCTGGAAGGCCGGACACCCAGAGCCAAGAACAGGCCGGCCGGCCCAGCAAGGCCCACACGGAGGTGCCCACCCGGCTCCCAGCCACAGTGCGGGAGCCATTCCGAAGAGAGGCCTTTTGGACCAGTGCTGCAGGAGCACCCGGACACCCAGAGGAAGAAAAGGGGCCTTGACCTAAGTCTCACACCTTTTGCCAAAAATAACTCCAAATGGATCATGGACTCAATGTAAAACTACAAAACTTGTAGGGAAAAACAAAGGAGGAAATATTCAGGACCAAGTGCTAGGCAAGGGAGTTCTTAGATTGACACTGAAGGCCTTTCCTTCAGGAGGAAAAATGGGTAAAAAGGACCTCATTAAAATGAAAATGTTTGCTCTGTAGACCAAAAGCCTAACAAGCAAATGAACAGATGAGCTTCGAACTGCAAGAAAATATTTGCAAAATGCATGTCTGACAAATGACTAGTATCTAGAATATATAAAAGACTCTCAAAATTCAACAGCAAAAAAGCAAACAATCCACTGAGAAATGTGGGCCAAAGATATGAAGGGACATTTCACCAAAGAGGATGTACAGATGGCAGGTAAGCGTCTGAAAACACTGTCACCACCGGTAGCCATCAGGAAATGCAAATGCGACCCTCAGTGAGAGGCCACCACACTTCTTTCAGCAGAGCTGACAAACAACAGCAACAGCAGCGAGCACACTGCGAGGGGATCACTCACACACTGCCAGTGGGAATGTAAAATGTGCGGCTCCTCTGGGAAATGGCCTGGCAGTTTCCTTAAAAAAAAAAAAACAAGACCTAACCCTGCAACTATCACAACCCAGCACCTGTTCTGGGCATTCATCCCAAGAGACGGAGATGGGCTCATGTGACACCCTATACGCAAACATTCAGTGCAGCTTTATTCATGAGCATCCCCAAACTGGAAACACCCCAGACGTCCTCCCACAGGTGACTGGTTAAATGAATTGTGACCCTGTGGACTACTATTAAGCAACAAAAAAATGCCAAGGAACGAGCTAGTAATAGACACACACCAGGAAGATTCTGGAAGAATCTCTAAAGGATTACACTGAGGGAAGAAGGGCAGTCTCCAAAGGTTACATACTATATGATTCCATATATAACATTATTGAAATGCTGAAATTCTAGAAACAAACAGATCAGTGATCGTTAGGGGTTGAGGCAGGCAGAGGAGTGGCTGTGAAAGGACGATGGGAGGGACCCCTAATGGTCTGAACTATGCTG